ATGGTCTTATGCCATAGAAAGGCTTCGAGATTCAAAAGTATTGAGAGAAGTAATAGTAGGTAGAGATAAAACTTGATTGTTTGTAGTTTTTTGGGTAAATTACATAATAGCCCCTTAGGTTTGAGATCTATTACAACCTCATACAACATCTTTAAAAAATTTCACTTTCATACCTCAAGTATTATTTTATTTCAAAATAATACATCCGTTACATTTTTCATCCATTGATCCATTAAGTGCTGACGTGGCTGTCACATTTGTACCACGTGGCTGACAAATGTCACGTGGCAAAAAAAAAATTTAATTATTTTTTTAAAAACCTGAATCTTCTAAATTAAAAACCTGAACCTGAATCTTCTTCTTCGTCTTCATTGGGTTCTAGGTTTTCTGCTGCTACTTCTTCTTCTTCTTTTAAGGTTCAGTATGGGGATGGGGGGTGGGCTGATGGGATTTGGATTTTCTAACCCTTTTTTTTTTTTTAAGATTAAGGTTTTAAAAAAAATTATAATTTTTTTTTTTACCACATGGCTCACATTTGGTAGCCACGTGGCATAAATGTGGCAGTCACGTCAACACTTAACGGATCAATGGATGAAAAATGTAACAGAGGTATTATTTTGAAATAAAATAGTACTTGAGGTATGAAAATGAAATGTTTTAAAGATGTTATATGAGATTGTAAGGCCATCTCTAACCGAAGGGTCCAGAGGGCCAGAGGGCCGAAAATAGCCCTAAAACCGTCTCCAACCGAGGGCTAGGCCAGAGGGCTCTGGAATCTGGGAGGGCCCCACGGGATCAGAGAGGGCTGGAGGGTTGGAGGGCTGGCTGGTTTCGGCCAGCCAGCCAGCCCCGGGCTGGCTATTTTTTTTTTAATGTTTTCCTATTGCTGTCGGTTATAACCGACAGCATTAAAGAGATTCTTTTTTTTTTTTAATAGTTTGAATGTTTTTTAATATAACGGCTAGTAGCTGTTGTATTATTAGGCCCCTTTTTTTATTTTATGAATTTAAACTTCTTTTTTTCCTTTTTTTTTCCTTTTCATATGAATCAAATTTTGTTTCATATTTTTTTTCAATTCTATTTTACAAAATTTGTTTCAATTTTTTTTAAATTCTATTTTTTTTCCTATAACTTCTATTTTACAAAATTTGATTCATATTTTTTTTCATATAACTTCTATTTTACAAAATTTGTTTCATATTTTTTTAAATTCCATTTTTTTTCCTATAACTTCTATTTCACAAAATTTGTTTCATATTTTTTTTCAATTCTATTTTTTTCCTATAACTTCCTAGGCCATTTATACAACATTAAATTAAATTAAGTAACATGAAACAACATTAAACAATATGAAACAACATTAAATAACATTAACCAACATACAAATTATACAACATAAAAAAACATTTAACAACATGAAACTTAAACAACATTTTTAAAAACATTTAACAACATAAAACTTAAAAGCCTACTCCATGCTTCTTTTGGCCCAAAGATGTGCAACAAGATCCTGTTGTAGGTACCTATTTGTGGCACGAGAACGTATCATTCTATAGCGCCTCATATACTCATTTATAGAGATACTACCAGTTATTGGATTGAAAGGCAAATTAGGCCCATCATATATTTTTGCTAGAGCCCTTCTTGACCTATTTGGATCTTCTTGGTCATCATCGGACTCTCCATCAATATACCCATCTCGCTCATCCTCCACTATCATATTGTGTAATATGATGCAAGACATCATGATGGAGTTCAAATTTTCTCGACTCCACCCTCTTGCCGGTTCGCTGATAATCTTCCACCGTGCTTGTAGAATACCGAAAGCTCTCTCAACATCTTTCCGGTATGCCTCTTGGTGTAAGGTAAACAACTTTTCTACATCATTCCTAGGGTTTGGAATTGCTTGGACAAGTGTCGCCCACTTTGGGTAGATGCCATCTGCCAAGTAAATACCCCATATTGTATTCACGGCCGTTGATGTAGTAGTCAAGTTGAGGTGCTTTACCTTCCGTCAAGTTATTGAAGAGGGGTGAACGCCCAAGAACTGTAATGTCATTTTGGGATCCAGGGACTCCAAAGAAAGCATGCCAGATCCATGTGTCATATGAGGCAATTGCCTCTAACACAACAGTTGGCTTTCTCGACCTTCTGCTAAAGCCTCCTTGCCATCCAGTGGGACAGTTCTTCCAATCCCAATGCATGCAGTCTAATGACCCTATCATGCCCGGAAACCCACGGTCTTCAGCTTTGTGAAGGAGCCGATTCAGATCTTCTTCATTTGGCTCTCGGAGGTACTCGTCTTTGTAAACCTGAACAATTGTGTTACAAAATTCTTCAAGAGTATTAAGGCATGTAGACTCAGACATACCATGGGTTTCATCCATCGAATCAGCTGAGGAGCCATATGCCATCATTCGGAGTGCAACAGTAACCTTCTGATGAGGTGAGAAACCAGGGCGGCCTGCTCTGTCCTGCTTCTGTTGAAAGTATGGATTGACCTGCTGGACATCACGAAGTAAACGCACGAAGACATGACGCCTCATCCGGAAGCGACGTCTGAAATCCTCTTCTGTGTACACTGAGTTGGGGTTGAAGTAGTGGTTCATCAGATTGGCATGCGCCATCGCTCTGTTTCGTGGTTTGTAAGAGCGACCAGCAACAGAGCCACCCCATTAAGGTTGTTCCTCAGTTGGCTGACACACCATGGCCGTAGCCATGGCTGCTGCCATGTTTTGTTTGTTGCGCCTTACTTGAACTTCTTCATCAGACTCCTCATCTTCTCGTCTCATTTGCGCCCATTTTGCTTCCAATTTGGAATTGGATGAGGACCCCCAATTGGAATTGGATGAAGATCCAAAGTTGGAATTCATTACAAACTTGAATTGAAAGAGATTGAATTGCAAGAGATTGAATTGAAATAGATTGAATTTAAAGTTTGTGTGAATTATGGCCCAATATCCACCCTATTTATAGCAAAAAAAAAAATCAAATCCAACGGCTAGCTGACGTCAGCATGATGTCAGCTACCAACGGCTAGCTGACATCATGTTAACGTCACCTAGCCGTTAGATTTGAATTTAAATTGTAGTTTTTAAATAATAAATTATGTTTGGCCCTTTGGCCCTCGGTTGGAGACGGTTTTTTGTGACAGGGCTAAAACGAGCCCTTTGGCCCTCTGGCCCTCGGTTGGAGACGGAGGCAAATATGGCCCTGTACTGTTCATTAAAATATTAATATCTTGAGGAATCTTGGAGGGCCAGAGGGCTCAAACGAGCCCTCTGGCCAGCCCTCGGTTAGAGATGGCCTAATAGACCTCAAACCTGAGGGGCTACTATGTAATTTATCCTATTTTTTGTGTGTATTCTTCCTTCTCCAAAACCCTTTTATTTATACCAATCGACTCAATCTTAAAATCTTCCTAGGATCTTACTTCCTCTGCTTGCAATCCAAGAAACCTAAGGTTTTATATCCAATTCCAATTTTTAGCTACAAGAATCCCTTTCTTCGCACATAAACTGCACCGACTCTCGCGGCAATTGAGCCTAAAGCAAGGCAAGGCTCACCGGCACATCATTTAGTTAAATCTCAACCGTTCATTCGTGGTAAAATGTGCAGAAGAGAATTTCAAATCAAGCTAATTAAGTTTTGGGCTTCACCAATTAAATAATGGCTAAACACTTAATGTCCAAACCCATTACTTAACTTTAAAGGCCCCAATAAAAAATAGGCCCAACAAAAATATTGTAGTTGATGGAACAATCTTAACACAATCCACCACCTAAAAATTTTGTACCGTCCTAAAAAGGACTTGACAAAAAATAAAAAATAAAAAAAAAGTGCTAAACAATTGGGTTACTTGTCATTGACACTATGCTGCGCCGATGTGCTACTGCATGGCGGATTTGGATCTCGTCCGGATCCAAATTGTGAGGATCTTAGGAATTCTTACATTTTAACAATTCATCGTATATCATGCGGTAAAAAATCATTTGATTTTTTTATTTAAAATTAAATATAAATAGTACCTAACGAAAGTTAGCCGCACGATGTACGATGAACGGTTAGAATGTGAGCATCCTTAGGATCCTCACAAAGGGGATCCGAAGAGGATCCTCATCCATGCATGGCATCTCTAAATCACTATTACTTACATGAAGTGGCTCTTTCTCAAGTTTGATAGACTTCTTGAGTCCTGACGATGGTTTTAGGAAGGCAAATATCTCAACATATGTAATTACTAATATGGATCATTCTATTGACGGGCACTATTTATATGGATAAAACTATGCCGTCGTCGGCCAGGAATACTCTTTTTAACCTATCAGGATTTGGTTATAATAAAGGTTTTAATTTTTTTTTTAACAAATGATATTATCTACTCTACAGCTTTAACTTCTTAAACCTTTGTTATTTATCCGCTAAAAATAAACAATTGGTGCACTTGGTTCCTAGGCAGGACATAAGTGGCAAAGCAAATCCCTTTCACAGCTTCAGAGTCAACAGCTTTGTTGTTTTGGTTTGAAAGGGGAGGTGTTTCCTCCTTCCAATCCGCCGATAGATGAGATGTCCCTTTTGCTCCTTTCCAATTCAACGAGTCTGGCAAGAAACTATATTTTCCAACACAATTTGGAACGTATATTGCTAATTAATAATTCTGCAATAAAAAAGGTTTTATCTTTGTTGTACCGCCCCTGGCCCCAGATTGGATTACCCATTTTTGTTTCTTAGCACATGTCGTGTTTAAATTCGATTAATATTTCGATTCACGATCCTCTTCTTTACTTGTAAATGAAAAATTTTAACTTCGATTTTCGTAAATCACAAATTTGAATTAAATTATTATGACTGCTTAATTATGTGACTTAATATCACAAATCTTCCACCATTTATCGTAAATAACCGGACAAAAGTCTTTCTCACGTTTAAGCCACGTGGTTTGGGTTCACTAGAGAGAAAAATATATAAATCTTCCTTGAAAATGCAACTACGTGGGGGGGCCCTGACACCCTTAACTTATATTTCATCAAATAAAAAAGAAATGGTGACCCGCAGGAAGCAGTTGAACTAAAACTTTCGAGAACGACCAGCTGCAACATTGTCAACCTCTACCAAACCTCCTCCAGGCCAACGAACTACTCCTGTGCGAGTATCTCATCATTTTAATTAATGTTGTGCGGCCAACTATTTGATTCCCAGTAGATCAACCACTTCATGGACACAGACGATTTCAGCTTCCCCACACACAATTTCCCTCTAACTCCTATCGACTCACCCCCGTTGTGGTGCTTATCTCCTGCAGCAGAAGAAGATCGTAATCATGGAGAAGACATCATGGATGCTGTAAATTGTAGTTATCAAAGAAGAAAGAGCGTTTCACATATCGAGCGTGGCGGCCGGAAAATGAGAGAGAAGGAAGAAGAGGAGACTAAGACTATGGACATGCTCTGGGAAGATTTCAACGAAGAACTACCGATGTCAAGAACTGCAGCAAGATCAGACTACTCTGGTAGGTTTTCACAAGAGATATTAAAACAATTGGGCTGCGTTCAATCTTTCAAGTTTTCGAAAACCAACAGTACTACTACTACTGCCGTCGGCGTCGCGGGGGTTATGAAGGTCATAAAAAGGTTGTTCTTCCTCCACAACCCTAATCACAAACTCAAGAAACCTGCATGGCCATGATCAAATTGTCTACCTCTTCCCTTTCTTCCCTTTCCTGCGTTCTTGTTTTTTTCTTCTTCATAATATCTTTTTTAAATGGGGTGATCATATACTAGTGGTCAGTGTAAATAATTTGATCATATATAGTTTGATTAATAAAAAGAAGGTACAGAGGGCACGTCTCATGACCAAGTCATGTCTATGTATGAATGTATTTCAGTTTCTCTATCCATTTGACTATTTGCTAAAGCATCTTATGATTTCAGTTTTTTTTTTAAATATAATAGAGAGCTCTTTGTTGCACAATAAAGAAATGTAAGAATAATATTGACTTCTTGAAGCTAATAAAGAAGCCAAGAAGCCCCATCTTCACAGACACATTCTCCTCTCTATCAGAATCTCAGTGGGTTTTCAGTTCAGAAAAGAGTGTATATTCTAAGGGTGGACAAACGGATATAGGAATAGCGGGTCGGTTCCAATTTTTTAAGAGGAAAAACGGGGCGGGGTCGGGAGATACCATTTTAGGGGCGGCCCGAGTCCAGATATATAGAAAAAGGGGACCCAGACCGGTCCGTTTGTAATTGTAATGGACGGACGAGATTTGAAGAGTAATATACATCCAATCTTATCCGTTAGTTTTTACCCTAGGTCTTAATCACACCTGAGTCTCTCTGGTTACAAACTCCAATCTTTCTTACGTCCCCTCCCTTCCACCCCCACTCTTCGTCAGTCATCTTCTCCACCACCCAAAACATCACCGTCGTAGCAAGTCTGGCGACCACCACGATGGCCCATCTTCTCGATTGTCCTCCTCCCAGTCTCCCTCCCTCCCTCCCAAATCCCACAGTACTGACATCTCATCTTTCCCATTGCTCTCTATCTCCCTCAATGATATCACCGAAAACCCAGAAGATTGTTCCATCGTCAACCCATCACCGCCACAGCGACTACCACCACCCCATCACCGGCATCGAGATCTCTTTAGGCATTATCTCCTCCTTGACCGCACCACCCATTCCTCGTTCTCTTCCCCCTCCCAGCGTCGAATCAATTGCGCCAATTGCTTCGAGATCTCTGCTGAACCGATCTGGATAGAGCCTTGTGCCATCATCGATCTGAGTCAGATTGGAGCCTAGTGCCATATTCGATCTGAGTCAGATTGGAGCCTCGCGTCATCGTCGTTGATCGGAGTTGAGAGACAGAGACCTTGATTTAGGATTGGGAAAGATAAGCAAAAGAGACGGGGACAAAGGAAAGAGCTCGATCAGGAGGATTAGCCCCTTTTCTGGTAAGACGTTCTTATTCAAATTGGAATGAAACAATAGGCTCTAACTTTCCAATCTCATGCTCACATTCTAACATCTCCCGCTTATCAAAAGGTGATCACTACGCCTTTTCAAAAATTTATCATCACAATCAATGTTCCATTCATTTCAAATATAAAGACAAAGAACTTTCGAAGATTCCAAAAAAAAAAAAAAAAAAAAAAACAAAGAACTTTCGAGTCAAGAGAATGTGTCATGGATGGTGTAAAATCTATGTTAAGTTCTTTTCCATGCCTTATTTTGTAAAGGACTTCAAATATTTTCTTTATATATGCCAAATGATAACCACAACTGATTGGACAGTTTATAATTCTCATATACATATAATCACATAAATGCATGACAGACTATATGGAAATAAAAGGGCATGAAGGAAATGACGTTATACGTATCAGATTTCCATCAACAAAGTAATAATCTTGAAAGAAATACGAAGTACAAGAGAGATCGCAAGTTTACACCTATTCGGACAAACTTTCTTGCCAGTCGGGCAAGTTTTAGCAAGTTGCTGGGTGTTTTGGAATGATTTTTTCTTAAATGAAATCGATACTGCATGCAATATAGCAGACCTTAAAATATAAATGCAAGTGCAGAGATGCAGAATTGCAAACAGATCTTTGACAAACAGCAGATTAGAGTTGGGTGGTTTTGAGCAACCACTTTCACAAGCAATTCCATGCCCGCAGCGCTCAAGAGCCTTACCCCCTCCAACTTTGTAATCTCTTCCACAGTCTCTCTTCAATGAAGCTACTAAAGTATTTGGTATGTGAGGGCAAAATGGCACAACAAGGTCAATTCAGCGAAATGAATGATCGATCAAATTGTATTTGCCTAAAAGAATATATATGCATATAGTACATGCCTTTGAATAAGCAATTACAGAAACAATATAACAGCAAAACATCCATTTGGTGTAAAATACATGAATGGACCTATGATTTGGATACAGTGTCAGCTGCCATAAGTGTATTGCTACTTGCCTCCGAATCCAGATACGGAGCAACGAATGAAAAAATGGGAGGAATAACAACCAAGAAGCGTTACGTATCTTTTCTAAAGAGCCAGCTCAGCAGTAAAAGCGACCGCAGAAATGCTAACTTCACCCCCACAAGAACTCTCTGGATAAAAAAAGAAAAGTTCTTCATCGTTATAGTCTTCTCACATTAAAAGTGCAAAATTTCCATCTACCATGTAGTCAGTCTGCACTTCTACACAGTGAAGAGAGTGGCCAAACACCATTCGTATAAAGCAGGATTCGGAAAAGCCAAAGAAGTTCTACTCCGTTGCCTCTTTCCGAATACTCTGCTTCTCTTCTGATCTGTGGCGAAACAACTTAGCTATGGCTCTCCTCTCGCAATCCTGCAACATTGACAGAATCAGATTAAAAATGTTATAACCAATCCAGGCTCCTTTTTTTTTTTTTGCTCCTATTGAGAAAAATGCTTGGCTTTTTATGCACAAGGAGTAATTCCTCCTTACAAGGTTGACTCGTGAACTGGGATTTACCCGCCTAAGATTGTAAGAAGAACAACTTTTTAGTCCTTATCCATTAGGCATCCAAGTATTGTTATTCTTACTATTCATTTATTCACTCATGTTGGTTGTGGTGAGGAGAGGTAATTCTTACAGTTACTGAATCAAATCCAAATTATTCACGCAGTTTACATTCAGTTTGGCTATAACCAATAATCTGCATAAATTTTACCTTGAACATATGAAGGTGGAGAGGTTTTTCCGGATTCATCCTTCGTAACTTCTGGTATGTATATGCAAAACTTAGCTGATCACGAGGGGTAAACCGCTCAACCTCATTGAACCATAGACATGAAAACAAGTTTGACATTGGAGTGTGTGCCCGGATGATAAAAGACCCTTCTGGTACATCTGCAGATGTGATTAAACAAATTATGTCATGGATTGGTAAAAGAAAATGCATTGCAGTCAAAATATTTTAATGAAAACGCTCTTTTTCTCATTGAACAAATCATACTGCTGGGAAGAAGCCTGTTGGGATCCAAGGCATTAAATTTTGTTAGGCCATCAGCTTGGTAGAAGGCAAATTGTTGATCTATGATGGTATGGTTATACTTATTCAATCTCTTATTCTGTGCAACTTCTTCCCATACACAGTGTCGGTTGTAGTGATTGGAAATTGCATACTCATAACCTTTTCGCCACAAAAAGTATTCCAATATGAGTAAGGGGTCAAGTTGGAGGCGCAATTTACTGTCCAACCAGATTGAATACCTGAAAATTTAAGTAAGGGTTTTAGACAAGAGCTAAGGAAAAGCACCACCCACCAAATAAACAAATCCAACGAGCAAAGCATACAAAAGCACTAGTTCTATTGTAGTAATATGCAGCTGCTTATATTCTTTGTACAGTGGTCCTCAATTGCTAGCTTAATCTCACACCTCCTAATGTTCTTAAAGATGCATATCATTTTTTGGTAAGATTTAATGACTGATATCTGAAATTTGAGTAGTGATTCAAGTTTAATAACTGATTTTCATAACTCTCATGGACACATAGACACACATGCACAATCTAATCTATACAACTAATGTGCGTAAACACACAATTTAGCATCGGTGTTACAACCTTTAAAGGTAACCGTTAAGTATGATTAACCACCTAGAAGATGACAATCAGTACATATTACTAGTCAAATTCTAACCTCGCAGAAGGAAAAAGCCGATGAGGCAAAAGTTTGGGTATTTTCCCCACTCGCCGCATATCGGTGTATGGTAGGTTCTTCACCACCACAATCCTCCATAAACCAATAAAACCCATCCTATCTGGTGTTTGCCCTTCAGCAATCAGGGTTTGCAAAGTAACTTCATCAATAAACATAACAAAGCACACATTCTTCCTTGACAAACGAGAGACCTGAAATCAAGAGAGTTTCACTTGAGTCACCATTCTTGTTTATTCTGTTTTTCTTTTCCCTTTATTGGCTATGACAATTATTGCAACTTTATGTCTAAATCAAAGAATTTTCCTTTTTTTTTGAAACTGAAAATGGATAAAACAGAACATTAATAAACTAAAAATTGCACTGTGATTGGAAATTTCCAGTGGATAAGTCTAAGTCCATTATAGAAGACCAGAAAAAGTATAAGATTCATTTAAACAAATGTATGAATTAACTGGAACATGGAACAAAAGAAAAATCACAATTCTGAAATATTAGGAAATAAAATCCTACCGAGCAAGCTCAATCCCAAAGTTACATTTGAAGCAAGTTCAATCTCAAAGTTACATTTGATATGTTGGTCTACACTGCACATCATTGAATTTGACTTAAAGAGTGTTGCAAGGTTAAACTGGCTGAATTAGATGATAAAAGAGTCCATGTTCCACTCAAATCAAGGTACAAAGCAGACACTATATCCCAAACATTTATTATAGGAACTAGACAAGCCTTGGAGACTTGACTTTTTTTTCTTATGAGAAATGCACTGGAATTTGCTCTATCATGTGAGAGTTCAACAACCATGTAATAAGAAAAAGGGCCAAAACATTGTTATTTAGAGTATCAGCAGGTGTAAAAGTTATTGTAAAAGTTGTGACATGGTGTAAAAGTCATGAGATGGTATAAAATTTATAACTTATACCGTTAATCCAACAAGCTATAGTTCCATACTTGATTTACATATGAGTTATAGTCCATATTCCAATTAGTTTTCAGTCATTCAATCCAGGTTAACATGTCATGGCATAAAACTTCAATTTACGCCTGTGTCACAATTAGACCTGGCATTTTGGACCCGACCCGTTAACCTGATCCGACCCAACCCGTTAATATTAGTATTTCAATGGATGCTTAACGGGTTGGGTTGCTAATGGGTGAACCCGTTAAATAACGGGTCACCTTGGGTCAACCCGTTAGCATCCGTTAGTTGAGAATGTTTTAGTAATTTCAGT